CTTGGTTTGGAAGTGTCTTTTCAATGACGGAGAACCTGAACATTTCTCTTGTATTTGAGAAATATGCTGTCCCTTTGTCTTTCCTGGAAATATATGTTAAAAGAGTACAACACATAGGGTTACAAGCCAGAGTCTTTTGTAAGCATCACAGTTGTCTACCTTCCAACCTGTTTGTTCCTCTTCAGTCCGCGCCCTTCAGAAGGAACCCCTTTCAGGGAAAAGTGTCTTTAAAGGCTACATTTCTCATTGTGTTTTTCTAGAAAGGATAAGAATATTTCCATAGATTTCCACTCCTGTTCAACCTTTTAGAAAAGATTTATATCATAACCCCAGTCTTTGTGCTTCTGGGGCTTGCTTCAAGTTGTACTCTGACTCCTCATCACTCTGGCATGAGAAGCTCAATCTGTGCTGCGAGGGCTGCTCTTAACCCTGTCTTAATTCATGCAAGGCTATCAAATTTTAACAATATAGGCCTTTTCTGTGAAAATGTCTGGATTTCCAGAGGCCAGTGCTCAACAAACGTGTGATACCAAGATTATCATGTTATAGTTTTACAGCTTTATGGCCCATTGCCTGCTACATGGAAAAAGTTCTGCATCCTTGCCACGACACCTCAGTGGGAGCATGGAACGATTAAAGTGTATCTGTTGTTGTTCCTTACCTCGTCTCTACTACCCAGTACAGAGACCCTGCATGCAGTGAGCATTTAGACTAATTTTGAATCATCAAAATAATATTCTCTTTTTATAAATCCCTAACAATAGGATCTTGGCCTCTTGAGATCAAGGAGCTAGGAAGGCTCAGAATGTCCTGCTCTAAGGTGGATGGGAATTTTTTTCCTCCTATATGAAGACCTACAGACAACCAGTGAGAGAGTGAGAATCAATATTCCCCAATGAAGAGCCCCCTCATAGGTTATCCAATTGTAAGTGGTCAGCCATAAAAACATATACATAAAAGCCACCTTAAATGGAAGAGGTCATGAATTAGCAACATAGTAGGGATATGTGGAAAGAGTTGGAGGAGGAGAAGGAAGGGTGAAAATGGTGTAAATATAGTACCTATGCATTAAATTCTAAAACCATTTTTAAAAAATAAAAGATAATAAAGTAATTAACTGAGTATAATTTAAAACAGGGTGGTTTTATGCAAATTTTGCCCTACTTATACTGAGGAATATTTATACTTAAGAGAGAGATAGGAAGAGAAATAAGAGCTTTGCTCCAGCAAGGAAAATCTAGTATACGTAAATGCACCCACTGAAATCTGACATTGAGTCTAACATCCCATAGGTCGTCAAGTCTTTAACATGCCATGGCAAATTTTCTTTCAGAACTTGCATATCTTTTCAAAGTTTATGCTTTCTCGGTCAACAAAAATATTTATAAGGTAATAATTGAAAACTATATATCCTTAAAAAGCACTTCACATTTGGCTGCTTACTGAGGGAAGTGACTAGTCTTCTGTGTTTTAATTGTGATATTACTAACTGGAAACCAGTATGTGCCTAAGTCACTCACAGCTGCCAAGTGGATGAGTGTTGGATTTGCAGGATCTATCCTACTGTTAAGTGTGATTTTAAAGCTACAGAATGTCATCATAACGAGGATAAATGTTTCAGCATATGTCGCCGCAGGACATACAAAGGTGCAGATAGCTGAGAATTTATCATTTCATGAGGCCATTATCAGAGTAAATATAAAGCTCTCCTTTATAAGTCATTATTTAAATGAACACTTTAAAAAAAGCTAGCACTGTCACTGAAACAACAGGAGCCATTCCACACGTAACTGGCTTTTAGAGACAACAAACATATCAATTACTTCAGATTTTATATTCTAGGTTTTAGACATATGCCGAATACTGTTAGCACTTAAGAACAATTATGTGATCCCAATACAAACTCTTGCCTCTGAAGGACAGTGGTACAAGCATACAATCACAAGCATAAAATCATAGAAAGCTGGCTTCCCTGAACCCCAAATGTCCTGGAACACTTGAAAGTCAGCAGGTAGACAAGCAATAACATTTTCATCACAAACTACCATGATTCACCCAATCTACTCTAAAGAAAGGAACAATTAACAAACTACTGTGCTACAAAATATTGTGATATACTTTATTTGATTGACTATGTTTTTATTAAAAAATAATGTTTTTCTTAGAACTAAAGTATAGCTATATTTTTCAGTTTTCTTTGTCACTTGAGGTCTTAGATATAAAGTCCAGCCAGCCAAGGTAATGTCAACAAAAGGGCTCATCTGACCCAGACTTATTACCACACCGTATACTCTGTATCCCATGCATGTTACTTGACTCTAAATTGACAAACACAACCTCTGTGAGAACCTTAAAGTGAAGCAAACTTGTCTCTGAATCCTCACTTAGAAATGAATACTTAAAAAAGAACGGAGAACAACTCAGTTTTTTACTCCATGAGCACAAAATCAACTTCCTTCAATTTTGAGATATTTTAGGCTATTTTCTCATGGTAGTCAGTGTTGGCTTAACTCCTATGTCTCTTGTTTATGTTTGTGCCAAGACTAACTTGATATCTCAACAGAGGCAACTACCAAAATACAGCCAATCCTTGTTAATCAGAAATCAAATTACAGATTTCTTTCTACAAATCTCTTTTGGAATACCTTTAGTTACTTCAATAATCTATTTCATAAAGGAATACCAAAATTTATGTAGAATACATAAACACCATTTTTAGAAATCTGGCTTTGTCCTGAAATAATACCAAGCATAATAAAATTACCACCCCTCAGAGCTCCCTACCTGCTCAGTTTTCTTAATTCTAAAGTCACATGTACCTTAAAAGTAAAGTGTAAGAACTAACCTCACACAAACAGCCTTTGAAGCCATAGGAATCTCCTGAACTGAGACAGCTGGCGACTGTGTATACACCTTCATCGATGAGAGGCTAATGCAGTGTGTGTCTGAACCTCGCTCTGATTAAGACAGAAAGAGAAACCTTCTCTTTCTTCTGTTGCTTATGATGTTTGTTGAACCCCATAACTGTACACAAGAAGCACGACAGACCCTTGTGAGGGATGACACATGACTGAATCTCACTTAGGGATTGCCACCTTCTAAGTGGAGAAAATGAGCAAGGGAATAGTGTCCATTTCACAAGGAAAATGTAAATGAATTTGTATGAAATGCATTTACACAAATACTGACAGCCTGATGTGAGGCAAACAGTCCTTCTGGGGATTGGAGATGAATGGGGAATAGGACGGCGTGTTCTGATGGAACCGGCATTGTGTAGGGAGTCTGGCTCCTGAAACTCCAAGGACTGTAGGGTGAAATCAAGCATGAAAGGCTGAGTTCTCTGCTAAGCTGTTGGGATTACCTAGCTGATTTCAGAAAAGGCCTCACCAGCATCTTTAAATGGACAGAATTGGTGCTGTAATTCTTCTATTCTGTTAGAATTTCCCAGGGTGGAAAGATGGATATTTTAGTTGAAGTGGATTATATTTACTGAGAATGAACTTAAGATAGCTTACAAATTTACTAGTAAAAATTGAGACTTTAGTCACTGATCAAGCTTCAGCTGGAAGCAGGTTTGGCTAGTGGACCAGATGTGCATGGCTATGTTTCCTGCCTCAGTGGAAGGCTTCATCCTGTGCAGACTGCCACTGGTATCCCGGACCACAGTGATATCAAACATTGGTAATTATCTAAGTCTATCCAATATATCTGCCATTTTAAAAGTACACTTGAGTCCAACGCGTAAACAGTCATAAAGTACTAGTGATGTGCTTACTGTCAGAATGTGTGAAGGCAAATTTCCAACCCAAGCATTTTTCCACTTCAGTCCATATTACTTCAATTGCAAATAGGGATTTCGAAAGCTCTTGTGACTTACAAGTTACAAATGACATTGCCATGATGTCCTTTGGATGGTATGATATGGTTACTATGCACAGAGAAGGGTAGATCTGGACCTCAGCTCTACATCTTACTATCAGAATCTCTCCTACTTCTATATTTGACTCTTCTGTGTGTCTCCCAATCCGTACTGTGGATCATGTGACTGTTGTATAAAAAGGAAATGTTTATTGTTACTGTTTTGAACTATGACCATCAAATTGAATGAGATAACATGAGCAAATTTACTTTAAGACCCATACATACTTCATAAATAACAGGGATAGACTCTAAAAAGTCAAAAATCTTAGTTAGGGTTTCCATTGCTCTGAAGAGACATCATGGCTATGACAACTCTTATAAAGCAAAGCATTTGATTGGGTTTGGCTTACAATTCAGAGGTTTAGTCCATTGTCGTGGCAGGAAACATGAGGGGGTACACAGGCAGACATGGGGCTGGAGTGGTAGCTGAGAGTTCTACATCTGGATTAGCAGACAGCAGGAAAAGAGTGAGACACTGGTCCTAGCTTGAGCATTTGAAACCCCAAAGCCCACCACCAATGACACATTTCCTCCAAAAAGGCCAAACCTCCTAATAGTTTCCGTCCCTATGGACCTAAGTGGGAACATTTTCATTCAAACCAGAACACCAATCCACCTCGTTACTAGACACATTAGTAAAAGTGTACATCAATCCATTATATAGGTCTTCTCAAAGAGTCAGCTAGGAACTACCTCTAAGTCTACAGATTTGAGTCCTTTAAATCTTCCTTTGCTCTTTGGATCTGCTGTGTTTATATGTTTGTTTTCATCAAAATATTACTAATAGTATATGCTTTCTGTACTTTCACAGGTAACTGAGCTACTACGTCTGTTATTTAAATAATAGAAAGATGTCTTCTGTGTGTGGAACTGAATAGCTTTGATTACAAACTATGAAACATAATAGCTTTATTTTTGGTAACTAAGGTGGGACCCTGCTGAAGAATAAATTTGTTGAAACCCCTTAGGAACCTATGACAATTAGAATAGAGTGAATGACAGACTCAATACTTGATCACAATGCCTGAATGTAATGGCCTTAAAATCTCAGTAGTTATTTCTGAAAGGAAAATAGAGAATTCCATATGACTTATTTTATTTAACCAGTCAGGAACATATAGAGCATGGGTGATTGGCATTTGGCTTTGAAAACCTGGAACTGACACACTAGCCCTCTTATAACCTTGAAAATAATACAATAAAAATGACTTTGTACAATGACAGTGAAGAAAATTTACATAAATACAAAAATGTATTAATGGAATAAAATAATATACTCTGGTCTCATAAGCAATTAATAAGCAGTCTGGTTTTATAATGACCCAAAATGATTTTTCTGTGCAATAGATTATGCTAGCCAATTATTTTTTAAATTACACCCAGAATTTCATTATGTAAGGATGGATCATGAGATGAGAACTAAAGGAATGCTCCAGCTAAAAAATAATAAAAATGTGATATTATAGTTTGAGGGATATATTTAGACTATTTTATGAGCAACTGATCACTCTTTGGAAAGAATGAAACAATATCGGAATTCTGTTAATATAGATGATTGTCAGATGAAAAATGGAAAACAGAAAATTATTAAAGGTAGAAGAAACAGCAACTCGTTCCAAACCTTATTACCTATGGCATTACGTCTTCATGATTCTCGATGACTTCACTTATATGCTGATGCTGAGTAATTGATGCAGTTGAGAGCCAGCAGCTAGGGTGGTGAATAACAAGGACTGGCTGAGAGCTATCTCCCAGTGAGCATTTCCATTCTCATGGAAGTAGGAAAGGAAGCCAAAATGGTCACTGTCATATGAAATGTGTTGGGGCCCTCGCCATTAACTTTTAGTGCAAGTACAGGTGTTTACACATTTGACTATGCAGACGTGTATGCACACGGTGGCATGAACCAGTGCCATCTCTCAGGAACCTCCATGGGTCCAGGCATAGGATACTTCCTGCTCTGTCCAGGCCTTCTTCCTTCTCACATTCCATATGTTTTGATCTTTTCCATTTCTCTGCCCACTGAGTGTCCATTCATTATTCAGGGTTCTTTTAGGCTGGTTCATCGATCCCAGAGTATAAACTTTGTCTTTGTGCTGCACAGAATAAACACTCATAAACACTGTTTATGAGTCTTCCCAGCATGGATTGAATTCTAAAATAATGTGTTTCAAGAATTTTCAAAGCATCACTCAACTCTTTGGTATTCTTCCCATTGAGGAGTGTTCCTTTCTTTTTATATTTTTTTCTTCTTTCATCAATTACATCCCCACTAAAATTTCCCTTTGTTCCTCCCCTCCAGTTCCCTCACCTCTTCTCTCCTCCAGATCCCTTCCTTCTCTACTTCACTTTAAAAAGGAGCAAGCCTCCCAGGGACATCAATCAAACACAGCATAACAAGTTACAATTAAACTAGTAACTGAAGCGACTATCATGGAACCTGCACAGGTCTGAGATAGGTATTCTGCATGTATGTTATTGCTATGTAGCTAAGTCTTCTTGTGGGACTCCTAACAGTTGGAACAGGGGTGTCTCTGATTCTGTCAACTGCTCTTGGGACCCTTTTTCTCCTACTGGGTTGCCTCATCTGGTCTTGATATGAGCATTGTCTTCTTTTGAGTTAAAACTAACCATGGTCAGAACTGTTTTACAGAGAAATCCTGTCTCAAAATACCAAAACAACAAAAACAAAAACCAAGCAAAGAAAACAACTAACCTCAGGAACTCTTGCCATTTGTCACAAGCAGTGCAACACAACTGAGCTTAATGGTCGCTATGACACATCATACAGACACCTGATTTTCCTTTTTGCATGTAAGCTGTAAGCAAAGCGAGAGTTTGCCTTGAGAGTCCAGAGTTCCATGTAAGAAGTCTGCCTTTAGATAATGATGCTGAAGATGTCACAGTGGGCACTCTGGTCCACAGCTCAACTGAGCTTCAGGCTAAAATCCGCACTGATGAGTTTCTTGAAAGGCATGTTCAGCCGAACCACCAGATGACCACAGCCCAGCCAGTGTCTGTGGAATTACTCCTGCTGTAATTCCTAAATAAAATGTTTACACAGTTGAAGAGTCATGGGTTTTTTTAGGCCTTAATAGTAACCAAATAATAAATATGTAAGTGACTATGTGTTGAATACAATGTGTGTGCATATATATGTATAAATTTATATACACATACTTCATATTCTCTTTCCATCTCTCTCTCCCCCTCTGTCGCTCTCTCTCTGTCTGTCTGTCTTTCTCTCTCTCCCTCCCTCCCTCATTCCCTCTCTCTCTCTCTCTCTCTCTCTCTCTCTCTCTCTCTCTCTCTGTGTGTGTGCATTCTATTTGCTGAATGGTACATAACCTGTATATGAAATGGAGTGCTTATATGTGTGCTGATGGGTAACTGTTCTACAAAACATTTTCAAATGTGTGTTATAAAGTACTTACATAACATATTCACTATTGATCCATTCATCAATAAAAGCTAAAAACAATCCCAATGGTTTTAATATGAACTGGAATTTATAAATGCATGGACTTAGTTTCACAATGTGTTTGAAATAGTTTTGTGAATTCCACCCTTTAAAAGAATGTTATCTCCCAGCCTTGCATAAATAATGCCAACACTGAAAAATATTCCGATTCTATAATTATAAATATTGGTTTTTTTTTACTTTATTTTTAGAGACAGGGTTTCTCTGTGTAGCTTAGTAAACCAGGCAGGCCTTGAATTCACAGAGATCCACCTGCTTCTTCCTCTGCTGGGATTAAAGGCATGTGACACCACTGCCTAATTTATATTGTTTTTTAGTTTTCATAACAACTTGAAATTGATTTCATTCTAAGAAACTCCTGCAAATTAAGATATATGTGTGCAAAGGAGTTATATGCCAGTGTGGAAAGTAGTTATGTTTTCCAGTGGCAGAATAAAGCAGAATCATGTCTGTCTATCCACTTGACTAAAAGAAGAAAACATGGTATGGCTGTTGAGAGATGGATAATTTCATGTGGGAAAAAATCAAGGAAAAAAATGGAATATTCATGTAAATTGGTTACAGTGTAGATGGATATTTCCTTTGTCATAGTAAATGATAACCTGTAGAAGCAGAAGTGTCACACACGGCTTGCTTCTCTGTACAATAAGAGCATATTTATAGACAGTGTAGCATTTATGCTGTCCAGGCTGATTATATGGAGAAGGGGTGCCTATGGGTGATCAGCACTTTGACTGTGAGTGACACTAATGCTCCACATTTTTATCAACCAGCCAGTGTTCAGATTTCTTAGTGCGTGTGACAGAGCAAAGGCCGTCCCGACTTTGAAAGAGGAAGTATTCAGAACCTGGTTCAGTTGGCAGTGACCTCATTCTGAACACGTTTAACTCATGAAAAGCGTGTTATTTTAGTGAACTAATATTGATAAAGACAACAAGTAAATGCAACACAGAGAAGTAACAGTGGGTTACCTGAAACAGCGGAAGCAACTGCGGCAAACGGAGACTAATGGGGGGGGACCTTGAATCAACATCGTATCACACCGGGCAGAGACTCTCTGGGGGTTGACAGGCCCCACCGCTTGACTGTCTTAAGACACACATTCTGAAGGGCTGCAGTGAAAACATAAGGAGCTGTGATTCAGCCACCTTGCAGTAGAGAAGGAAACCAGGTGCCAGAGAACATCCCGAGAAGAGGGAAAAATCAGAAAACTGCTGGGGAGAATGATGTCCTATCTGCTGGTTGAAGCAGCCACGCTGAAACTGATAGGAGTAGGAAATGCAGTAGCTCCATTGACAAACACAGCGCGTATTGTCATTCACCTACGTTCCAATCCTTGGATGCACATAGAAGTCTTTAGAAAACAAAGGTAGAATCAGATGATAAAACGCTGCAGCCAGGCACTGTGATACACACTTTTATTCACAGGCTCATCAATCAGAGTCATCTAAGAAGATACAAACTTTGTGGCCTTCCTGGGTTATATCGTACATACTAAGCCCCAGGCCAGCCTGGGCTACAGAAGGCAAGACTGTCTCAAATGAAGCAAACAGCAAAAACACTGCAATGTTGCAACCAACTAAGGGTAAAACCATAAAAATTATTCTATTATTTAACTTAAAAGCAGCAGTTATAGCTTTTGTAGACATTGGTAAATATCACACCAGCAAACTATTATTTAAAGGAAAGGTAGCAGGTTAACTGAATTGTTTTATTTTTTTAATGTTTTATAATTCATTAGCCAATTAAAAACAATGACTTCTGCAACTGCAGTAATAAAATATCTTTCAGGAGGGAATTCTGTCCAACAGTTGTCTTTTATAAATCATGCTTCTCCCCCATGATTAAATCCTTCAATGATCTGAAGCATGGCCTTCATTTACTTTTATTTACTGTTTCTGCTTTTGTAACACTTTTCACTCTCTGCCACTCCAACTTCAACCCCTAAATATTTATGTCAATTGAAGTTAATACTCTTCCATATATATGGGTAAGCATTGAATCCTATTAATTTATTCAGTCAGGGACATACGTGTAACTGGCATGTTCTAGCTATATTTAGAAATATTCACATCTTCGTTTCTCGCAAACAGATGCCTTATTAATTGTGTATCACGTCTTATTTGAAGACGGTTACTCACTTGCTGCTGCTGTCCCACATTCTGCCATAAGCTACATCTAAATAGAAAGCTCCTGGGAAAAGCCAGGGTTATTTATGAAATAAACGCAGCTTCTTAAGCAGCAGGACATGAGGAGATCCTGGCTATGGTTTGTAGAGTAGCTGTTCCTTTTGGAAATGCAGTAAAATGTGAACACTCAACTGAATGGCAAGAACCCTTTTGATACACACACACACACACACACACACATATGATTTATTTATATGTTCATTGGTGATTGTCAGAAAGCCGGAGGCTTTTCAGGTGAAGTATCATTTCACCAACACTCTGCCATTTAAAGACTGTAGTCTTTCAAGCAATCTCACAGAAGTCATTTTCTCAAATCTATGTGAATAGATATTTTTTAAATTTTTTTCTTGCACTTTTAAAATTAGTTCCTCCCACACAAGAATAGAGAAAAAAAATGTTGAAAAACCCTGCATGTAAGGTTGAAGTCTGTCATGTCTGGATAGCTCTCTGAGCTTGGCACAAAATTGAGGAGTCCCTTTCTGAACAGGACTCCCCTTATCTGCCTAACCTCATTTGGAGAGGGTCTCTTAGGGCAGATGACTGACCCTATATGGAGGGTGACCCTGCCCAGGGCTCCCAGGAAACTGCTCTATGACTCAGCATATCAAGTTCCCCCTCTTTCTTCTCTTCTCTGCCTGGTTTCAATTGGTGGTTCATTAACATTTGTCTGTCCTCAATTAGGTCCACACATGCAAATTAGGTGTATTTCCTCCCTTGTTTGTTTGTCCTTCTCCCCCCCCCACACACAAGCTGTATAAACTAGCCCTTTGCTTCACTTCAATAAATAAACTGTCTCACTGAAGCTAATTCCCTGAAGCTTATGGCCTTCCCAACCAAGCTCCTTGCCTTTGTACTTATGGGCCTGTGGCAAACAACCCCTGAGGAAAGGAAGCCCCACAAAACAAAACAAACAAAAAACCCCTCAACTAATGGCTTAAATATCCAACTGAATTCTCCTAAACCCTGAACACTGAGTGTTGTCCAGAAAAAAAAACCCACAGTGTTAAACAGGAGAGCTATTATTTGTCACCTGTGAAAAACAAACACACACACACACATACACCACACACACATACACACACAGAGACACCACACACACCACATCACACACACACACACACATGCACACACAGAGACACCACACACACCACATCACACACACACACACACACATATCACACCATACACACACCACCCCCACCCACACACACCACACCAATGGCATTTCCAAAGTCCCAGATCATTAGCTAGTATGTTCAGGTGACATCTGAGCTCATGGTAGAATGCAATCCCAATGTCTCAGCACTCGCCACGTTCAGTTCTCTGTGGCAATAGCATGTTGAGTATCAGTGTCTGGTTCTTAGGCAGCTGTGTGAACATTGTCTTTCCAGTCCCCATACAGATTTCTAAAGTGCCTTTCATCACAGCTCTTTTATTTCTGTTTCTTGTTCACCCCCCTGGCCCCACCACCCCTGTTAGTATCAGAGAGCTACAATCTCTTACTGTTTCATTCCACTAGATTACTAGGTTCTGGCTGAACTCATTTCTGTGAGATGGAGTCAACAAGAATCTGCAATCAGATGTTGTGATTATCCTGGGGTCACCTTGCGACATCCCATTCCTTCTGTCTCTGTACTTCAGTCTCCACCGTCCCAATCAGAAAATAGCTCTCCCAGGTTTATACTTATTTCTGATAGGACACCTCTCCTGATACCGTTACTCCACCACAGACAGAAACGTGAAACTCACCAGTACTTTTTTCGTTGAAGCTACTCCTCCACCAGTGTCTACACTAAGTGAAAATATTTTATTTACAAAGACAAAAAAAGAACTTTTAGACTTAACTAGTTTGTGCAGTATATAATTAGCTTTTATTTCATTAGAAGAAACATTTTGAGAAAATCAGAGTGGAAATGGAGAGCCAATATTAAGATTCTTTCAGTATGAGGGCATAACTAGGGAAATATAATGCTATAATATTACCTTAATGTACTTGAAAGGATATGTGCAAAATAATGTTTATTCACAATTGTTTTGATATTTTATTCTTAAAATTGTATCTCAGAGGCGCACGCCTTTAATCCCAGCACTCAGGAGGCAGAGGCAGGCGGATCTCTGTGAGTTCGAGGCCGGGCTGGACCGATAGCCTCCAAACAATACAGAGAAACCCTGTCTCGTAAAACCAAAAAAAAATTGCATCTCAGTATTCTACTTATATGTCCTTTTTATTTACTTATAGGTTTCATCAGAGCAGATGTCACCTAATTATATTATGCTTTCTGAGATGGGATGGAGAATGTAGGAGTTATGGATTCCTGCACTGAGAGCAAATGCAGCGAACAGCCATTTTTTGCAGGGCTTAATTAAAAGCAGGCCAACCGGACTTTACACCTATTCTTTGCATAATCGTAGCTAAGTGGCCAGGGTCAAAGGTAATATATTTTCCTCTTCTTTTCTCAGTCATGAACTCTCAACTTTAGTGCTAAATAATGTATTCGGGTACCTTTCTTCGTCATTCGAAACCTGACAGTTATACTTTTAAAATGAGATTTCTATCACTTTTACTTTTCCTGAAAATGTATTAATGTATTATTTTAGTTGTGCACATCTCATTCCACTGATTCTCTGAGTTTTGTACTAACGTCCCAGCATTCAGGCAATGGCTTGAAAACTTACATCCAATATTTACTATTTTGACTTACGAGTCATCATTAAAAATGAGAGGTGGCTCTTTGGGTGTCAAAGCTCCTGACATGGAAAAAATGCTGCATACTCAGAAGTTTATTGCACAAACCAGAATTTTAAGATGTTATCCCTACCTTAAAATCTAGGATGGACAAGAAGTAGGTACTGTTCAGGTAAACTTAAAAAAGAGCTTAGATATTTTATAAAGAATCATCATAAGACACAGAACGTTTCAATGAAACAGATTTTTTTATCTGGGTCATACTGAAGTGTTCTTTGAAAATACCTGCAAAACATTTATTGTTTGCATACATCTCTTTTCTGTAACATTTCTAGACATTCCCTCCTCATTTCTTCTAAAAACAGCATCTCATGCAGTATGTTTTAAAAACAAAAATCATTGCTCTATCCTTTCGACCCATTGTCAGAGGGTCTGAAATTTGACCACAGGAAACAGTCAAAGTGACAATCAACTTTAAAATTTTAACTATAAAACATCAATACAAACTTTTACTTAGAACAATGTATTGTAATTAGTGGACTTAAACAACGCTGCTACAATAAACACAGCTTCATATACTGTATGCTTTATTGGTTGAACAATCACATTGAGTAATTATGGACATGACAGGCATTACATGGAATACATAGGACTGGGGCATAGGTCAGGAATGATAAGAGGATGAGCATGTGCATTAAACCAGATCTGCTTCTCAATGCTGGTCTCTGGAGCCTGTTTCCTAGGACACCCTTTGTGACTCAATCTCCCTCACTTCTCCCACACTGAGCAGTGGCTGAGAGAGAGGAAAACCCCACAAGTATAGAATAAATTGTGGAGAGAAGTTCAGAGTGCGAGGCTTTGCAGCAAACTTGATTGACAAAGAACATTTAACATTACTTGCATTAGAGTTGCTTTCCCTATTATGATTTTTGTGAATACTTCTTTTGAAGTGAAAAATCTTGCTAGGGGAAACGTGAGGCAGGCCAGGGTGTGGAGAAAGCTAAGGAGTTCAATGATTGCTGTTGACAAGGATGTGCTTCAGTTTGCAGGGAACTTTCCTGGCATGCAGGAAGTCCTGGGTTCAAACCCCACCAATGTCTAAGCCAGGCATGGAAGCACACACCTCTCATCTCTGCACTGGATAGTGGTGGCAGAAAGATGAGAAGTTCTGAGCCATATTCTTCTACATTCTGGGTTTGAGGTCAGTTTAGATTGCATGGGACCCTCACT